TCTCAATTGCACAGTTTTAAAACTGGGGAGAAGTGCTAGCAAATAGGTGTTTTTGTCTTTATCAGAACCCCAACATGGAAACTGCTGGAGACATTCAACCTGACCCAGGCTCCCACCTGCTCCCTGAACCTCAGCCACTCTCTCCTTTCGGTGCTTCCTATGTGTTCCTCTGTGCACAGGGCCTTTGTATGAGCTGTTTTCTCTGCCAGGGCCACTCTCCACTCCTCCTGGCCTAGTTACTCCCATTCAAGCTCTGGATCTTGTCTCAGCCATTGCTTCTGTGGGGAAATCTGCCCTCGTCTCTGGGAGACAGGAAAGATAACTATGATCTCGCTCATATTTAGCTTCCCAGGGCCTGGCACAACATAGTCAGGAAACATTCTCTTTGAATGAAGAAGAGTCGGTCTGCAGTTTGGGACACTTTAGTTGGAGGCCCAGAGTGTCAGGTTATGATTTCTAGCTCTCCTGGACCTAAACCTATTGGCTGTGTGATCTCAGAGATGCAGCTTTACCTCTTTGGGTCTTACTGTCCCCATCCAGTGGGGAACGGACTTGACTGGAGGCTGCCTGTGGGCTGCTCCATCACATGTGCACAGCTGGGCTGTTTCCCGGTACCCACCGTGTCTGTGTCTACAGGTCACGGAAGCACCTTCATTTGAATTCCAAGTGCTTCCAGGTCAGCCAGGGCAGGATCTGTTTCACATTTGAAGGGAGCTATGGACAGACAGGCACCTCTGGGAGAGCTGTGCTTAACGGAGGTCACTCATGGGCCTTGGCCTCTTGGCATCTGGGCTTGAGAAGGCTGCACCTACACTGGTGCCAGGGGTACAGGTCCCAAGCCTGTCACAGGCAGGGGCTTTCTCCAAGCAACCCCCACTCACTTGTCCATGGGAGGCAGCAGCCAGGGTGGCCAGGCTGACCTCGCAAAGCTGGGATGTGTCCACTTCCTGTTGGATCACCAGGCTGTTCAGCTGTGATGACCACCTATGGGAAGATCCAGACGGACATGTGGACCAAAAGAGGGAAGAGCTTGTCTCTAGGGAGAGGGCAGGCTTTGTGAAAACCCCCCACCTTGGGGCTACCCCCAGGGGAGAAAGCAAGGTGTTCTCACTGCAAACCAGCCAGCTTCAGATCCAAGCCATACTCCGAGGCTGCCCTGTCTGTGGCTGTCTGCTCACACCCTTTCTCCCAAGCAAATGCCAGGCTTGTCAGAACCCTCATTTACATTCATTAAGAGGTGTCAGGCTGGGTGTTAAGAACAGAGCTGTTCCAGGCCTGAATCCAGAGTTTTTGGGCCAGCACTAAGCATTGATTTGCCTCAACCCCCTTGGTGGATCTGTCTACCCCCACCTTCCCAAAACAGAGCCTAGAACCATCTGACCCAACAGATGAACCTCCATCTACCGAGCCCTTTGCCCATTCTCAACACAAACCTGAAAAATAGGTATTATTGTCACCATTTGCAGATGAGAAGGCCAAGACCCAGAGAGGTCAAGTGACTGGTCCAAGGCCACACAGCTAGGAAATAGTAGAGCTGGTTTGCAAGCATGAGTCAGCCTGCCTCCAACGTTCACGTTTTTTCCATTGCTCCAAGCTGACTCCTGTCTATTCAGGTGAAGGGAGCTGTGGTGTGATGCTTACTTGCACCAAAGGTTTTTAGTGTAGACTCTCTAAAAGGGATGCAAGAGAGAACAAGAATCAGAGCTTGAGAGAGAGGCTGTGTGTGTGTGTGTGTGTGTGCATATATGTGTGTGTGCATGTGTGCAAGTTTAGGAGAAGGTCCCATAGCTTTCATCAACCATCATAATGCCCCAAAGGCCATGATTATCTGCTGCTCCGTCATCTACAGATTTCCTTGGAGAAAATCACAGAACCCAGGCATGCAGTTTCTCTGTCCATTATGAGATACCATGTGAAATTCTCAAAGTGTTCACAGCTTAACTGAGCTACTATCTTGGAACACAAGTAATGGATAACATTGTTCTGCAGAACACAGAGACCTCTACTTTCTATAAGGAAAATGTTATAGTGCTCGTTTTCTAGCCTGTCTCTTAGAGCATGAACCGTTTGAAATCTTGTGGCACAGACACGGCCTGTGGCTTATCTCAAAGACAGGGAACAGTGGGGCTCAGAGGAGAGTGGGAAAATCCTGTTTGTTTCTCTTTATTCCTGGGGACTTGCAGAGACCTAGCAGTGAGCTGGCTCTAAGAATAGTGGCTTGCCTCCCCGCCCATCCTCAAAAACTGATTCCTCCTCGGGTTCCTAACAATTGGTGTTTTATCACATTTCCACATGCAAAATGTGTTTTGCCATTTTTCATTAGATTTTCAAGGCTCAGATTGATGAGGGCAAGGTAAGAGCCAGACACAAGGTATAAGAGACAAGGTTTAGTAATGAGTTCGAAATTTACAAAACACAGAAGCAAATATGGCTTCAATACACGACGTGACCCCTTATAAAGCTGGAAATTACTCTTCAAAAATCATTCTGGCCCGACTTCAGAGTCGAGTGGATGCTGGGATACCACAGATTGACTTTGAGAAGTGGGTTGGTATTGCAGGAATTTTTTAATTTCCTGTAACTCACAACAATTTTCTCCCAGTGAGACTTAGAGTCACTCCTGTGATGGTGCATTGACCACATTTGCTGAACGATCGGCTGCAAGAACCAGCTCAAGCAGAAAAAGAATATGTCAGAGGAAGGGGACAAATGGGATTACCATAAAAAAAGTCATTAAAGGTTTTGAAAAGTATTTCCAGGTAACCGAGGGACCTGTTGCTTAAAAAAATGTGTCCAGGTAAACAAGGGGCCTGCTACTTATGTGTTTTAAAAAGTGAAATAAAAATGGCATCACTTACACTTCTGAACTGAAAAGAATTTGGGGAAAGCAGATTATTATTAATTATTTTTAAGAGCTTCTTAATTAGCCCTTCAAACATGTTTTTCAAAATCCCCAAAGGTGTCTAATTTGCATGACATGTTTTCACTTTTCTATGCATTTCATTAGCAGCACTTTTATTTTTTTAAACCTAACAGCAAGATGGTATTACAACACTTTCAGAAGGTGGACCAAGAAGAGAAAAGAAAAGAAAAAAGAAAAGAAAAGGAAAAACCCCTCAAATTATTGCTCCAAAAAAGTCCTGCATTTCTTTTTCCATCTTCATGGTGTCTTGCTATATTATCTCAGGGCACTCATTGGAGCTTATCTGTCTTTCAGAAATCACTAAACAAATCCATTAGAGCGAAACCACAGTGTGGAGGATGGTCTATTGGATGTGATCCACCGGGACAAAGATTTATTAGGCAGACAACCCCTTCTTCTACCCAACAGCAAATCTATTACAATAATGGGCTTCGAACCCATCTGTGGGGGAACAGCAGGTCAGGAGGAGCCCGATGTGTGGACACTGAGCAATCTGAACATGGCTGCCTTTTACAATGTGTGAAGCCAGGCAGAAAAGCAGCACATTTGATTGAGAACAGAGGAGAGCGGCCGGAATCTGCCTTCCCTTTGCTCCCACTTCCGGGGGGATTCATGGCTGGGGATCTGGAGGCGACACTTGGCAGCCAAGGGCGTGGGGCCAAACGGAGGGCCCGGAACTTGGAAAGAGAGGAGGGGGAGTTAATTAATGCTTTGTCCTGCCTGCCCTTCTCTCCTCCCCACCCCCAGCAGCCATCAACTACAACCATCATAATATTAAAGAGCAATATTACCTGGTGCTTACCATGTGCTAGGTCTTGTGCTAAGTGCTTTCCTGGAATTTTCTCCTCTTTATCCTGGCAGCAAAATAAGCCTTATTTGTTAGTCCCATTTAACAGATAATAGCTATTTAATAGCTTACTTGTATTGACTACTTCCGTGTGGCAGGGCCTGTACTTTATTTGTATTAATTCAATTAATCACCACAACAGCCACTGGCAGAGGTACTATTTTGGTCCCCGTTTTACAAATGAGGAAAAGGAGGCAAAGATAAGTAACTTGCCTTGGTCACACAACGGTGATCAGCAGAGATGGGATTTGAACCCAGGCTGTAGGACACCATCTTATTATCCCTCAAGGCCCAACCTAGTTGCCTCTTTCCTCCAGGAAGCCTTCTCTGACTTTCCCACAGGTCTGCATATCTCGTTCTTCCTTGGCCATGTTTCATTATTTGTGCAGTCCTCTGAAATGATAAACCCCTGGAGAGCAGGGGCCATGGTCTCTCCCTGACACTCCCCCATATTTGCAGCATTACCCAGCCTGACGCCTGGCACATAGTAGGTACTCAAGATGTAGTTGTTGAATGAAACATCTAATCAAAAAGCAGCTTTAGTTTTGAATTTGGGCATTGTTAGGAGACAAGGGCCTGATATTACTTATTACATTTCAAGGTGATTTGTCTTTTTTTTTTTCTTACCTACTAATGGAATATTCTCTTCTGAAGTCACACTCATTAGCACTCAGAAGCTGTTGTGGCAAAAGCTTTCTAAAATAGCCCCAAGTTTATTTGTGGGAGGGAAAGAAGCTAAGCCAGAGACAGAAGTATTAGGGCTTGGCATGCCAGAAAATTTGAAATGTGGGGGCTGGCTGCCTCTCACCTGGGTCCCGGGGCAAGGGTGGGAGACTGCCGGGCCCCAGAGGGGCTGGGTAGATTTTGTGTTTAGGGAGACAGCAGCAAGGAGGGCTGAAAAGGAATGCACCAAAGCCACGTGGAAATGATGTGGTGTCAGTTTATCTTTTCGACAGACCTAGTTTCCAGCAACACGGAACTAATCAACAGTAGTAAACGTCTTGTAATTGGCACCTCTTTTATTATCAGACACATAAATCAAGGAAGCTTCTCTCTCCAGTTGGAACAGGAGCTCAATAAAATTGGTGCAGTTCTGTGCTGTAGGGAAATGGTTCTGTTTTTCTCTGGGCTCTCTTCGTTCGTGTTATATCATGATGTGCATTTTACATTCATGATCCCATTTTAACTCTTCCAACAACCATTGAAGTAGCTTTAATTCCCATTTTGCAGATGAAGAGTCTGAGGCTTAGCGTCTGTCAAAAGAACCAAAGCCACACAGTAAGCTGGGATTCGAATCCAGGACTTTCTGATGCAAGATCCCACGGACCTAATGACATTGCTGCTGCTGTCTGCCTGACTGTCCAGCCCTTGCAGAAGGAGCACTTATCAATGGGCTGAGCTTCTGGCTGGATCCTAAAGGTGTCACAAGGTCCCCACCAGCCTACCTACCACGTGACTCACAGGTTACTGCTAAAGAGATGCCTTGGGGTTAAAATACTGTCCACAGACGTTTTGGTTAAAAGACTCAATAATAGAAGTGCTCTGGTCTGGACTGAAAGATGGTAGTTAAAAGCCAGAAAGAGGGGATAATAAAATCTACCTGATAGGATAATTGCAACAACAAACTGAAACACTGAACGTAAGACTCTGGGATGGTGCCATCTCCTAATCACCATCGTTATTCGTAGCTCTGTAAGGCTGCTGTGGAGACACTATGCAGTTTTCTCCTCCACTGCTTTCAGCCAGGGTTGACTGGGGGCTTGCCATGTGTGAGGCCACAGGTCCTCCCGCAGACACCCCCCACCACACACACTGTACCCTCCCGAAGAGAAAGAGTGGAAGGCCAGCAATATAGCAAGTGCTCCCTAATTGCTTCTTCTTCTTCTTGAAAACTTAGTTGTGTGGACAGAGTCAAGGAAAGGCTAGATGTGGGGCCTCCAGGAGCAGTCAAGGGTGAGGGTGGAAGGCCGCGTCCTGCGTCTCTCCTGCGATGGCGCTGGCTTGTGAGAGGGTCTTTTGGCCACAGTATTAGGCCTCTGCCTGGACCCCGCAGGCCAGTCTAGGAGCACTGCAAACACAGTGAGATGCCACTTTGGGATGTGTAAAGGTGACCCATGCTGAGAAGAGAGGCTTCAAGGCCTTTCTGATTCAGCATGTAGGTAGGTAGACACTTCTAATGTTCTCCTCTGTCCTATTCTTCCCTCCTTCTGCACATGAGCGGATTACATTTCCTGGGCCTCTGCTCTTTGATGAGTTGTGTGAGTCATTTTAGCCAATGGACTGTGGGTGGAAATGATGCATTTGTGGCTTCCCAGCTGAAACATTTGATTGCCTGCATGAGATACTATTCTTCTGCTGTTTTAGCAAAAACCCTGAATATTGTGTTGAGATGGTAGCCTCATAAAAAGATTCTAGAACATTCTGTAACGTAACAGAACACCCCTCCCTCTCCACGGACCTGCCTTGGGCTTATAGTATGAGCAATAAATACACCTTTATTATTTGACATCATGAAGATTCAGGGTTGTTCAGGAAAGCCTCTTACCTTACCGACACTAACTGACAACATTTCCTCATTCTGGAATTCACTCGTTTCCCTCTGTCACCTCGTGTGAAATGGGGACAAATTAGACCTACCTCAGAGGCTCATTTGTGAAGACTAACTGAAACAATGTACATAAAAAGTTCAACACCATACCTCATTATCAAGATTCGACAGCTCTTGTAATCCCAGCACTTTGGGAGGCTGAGGCGGGCAGATCACCTGAGGTCAGGAGATCGAGACCAGCCTGGCGACATGGTGAAACCCCATCTCTACTAAAAATATGAAAATTAACCAGGATTGGTGGCACATGCCTGTAATCCCAGCTACCTGGGAGGCTGAGGCAGGAGAATCACTTGAACCCGGGAGGCAGATGTTGCAGTGAGCCAAGATTGCACCACTGTACTCCAGCCTGGGCAACAGAGCAAGCGACGACCATCTCAAAAAAAAAAAAAAAAAAAAAAAAAAAAAAAAAAAGTTTGGACAACCCTTGGTGGTTCATTCTACTTAGCCAGTACGTTGCAGAGTTAATACTCTCATCTGAGGGAACTCTGAGGAGGAGGAATTTGGAATTTTGCCCACAGGTGGGTCCTCTATGGGGCCAGCCTCTGGGGAAATGGTGGCTTCATGATCTGGAAGCCTCTGCTTCCTCACCTTTTAAAAATGCTTCTTGCAATGCTTTCCCCACCCCAGCAGAGCTGCTTCTTGGAAAGGACTTGGCCCCAGGTGGAGAAATCCTACAAGGCAGTTCATCCCACATACACTTTTTACAAATGTGACACTAAGGCCCAGAGAGGTTAGAGACTTGGCTAAGCTCACACAGCTCACTAGAGGGAGAGCCAGCTATACCCTTGGTATTAATTGGAGCCACGGTGCCCCTTCTGCTCAGGCAATTCATCATGTCTCAAGGCAGAAATACCATGCATCCTACCACCAAGCAGTGGTTCTTGGCCCCGGACGATTTTTTCCTTCTAGGGGCTATTGGACAACATCTGGAACATTTTTGGTTGTCACAATTGGAGGGTCACTACTGGCATTTAGAGGACAGAGGCCAGGGATGCTGGTGAACATCCTACCGTGCTCAGAACAGCCCCCCTCAACAAGAAGTTATCTCACCCCAAATATCAATCGCTCCAAGCTTGAGAAATATCACACTAAAGGCATTTCATAGATCAGAAGGGGAAATTAGTTCGGGGGTCCAGAAGCAACTGTTCCACTCCCCCTGGATGATACTACAGAATAATAACAGCAACTCACACCAAAAAATTGATTTTACAAACACCAAATGCTTCCATATGTATAGTGTTATTTAAGCCTCATGGTAACCCTGAAAAGGTAGGTGTGATTATCCCATTTTACAGATACGGAAATAAAGTATCTGAGAGTGGGTATGATCTGCCCAAGTCCACACAGGCGGGAAGCAGACAGGAGCAGGGTTAGAAGCCAGATCTGTTCACTGCTGTGGCTTTGCTTTAGATACTCTAGCTTTTTCTCATGCTAGGACCAGCCCTGAGTGAGACAGAGTGGCTGTGTTCTGTGATGCTAGAGTCTGGGGAAGGAGGAACCCATGACCATTTAGAAAATAGACAACTTCCCAGCTACCTAAAATAAATTACTCAGTACATTCCACTTCACTGAGTCTCACTGATCAAAGTAAAGGATCATCAGGAAAAACAAATCCTGGGTCTTGGGAACCACTTCAGGGTGAGTGTGAAATTTTAACCTGGCTGGGGAGATTTGCAGTAGCAAGCTAGGGCTGGACTGCCCACTTCTGATACCAGCTGACAGGTTTGTGGACCCTGGGGAGAAACAGCATCTGCTCAGAATAAAAAGGCAATATTGAGTTTCTCTTCCAGGAGTAAACAGCCTTCTTGCTTCCTGTTCCCAGTCATCTGCAGGGTGGTGGCTACCTGGCTTCCCAGCATGACTAGAGATTGGATGCTAAGCTGTTACCTCTCCACTCTTGGCATTGGAGCTACCAGGCTGAGAAAGAGAAGGGCTAGCTGGGGCTCCTTGTCCATGAGGCCTGCAGGAGTGAATATTCAGTCTTATATCCCCTTCCCCTCCTTCATCCTCATGCTTGGCAAAATCCTTTACATGCCTGCAAATTAACTTTCAATGTAATTATAACCAGTCCCTATTCTTAGGATCATTGTGAATTGATTAATCATTTATTGAACACCTACTATGTGCTGCAGATTCAATGGTGAGTGAACCACACAGGCCCTGGAACTCATAGAGCTTATTATTTGTGGATTTGTGAAGGTGGGGGTAGATATGTAATCAATACATCAGGTCAAAATGTGACACATCAACAATGGCATCACAGGAGATTGATCTATTGGTGGTCAGGACATCAGATATCAATGTCCCTGGAGGAAGGGACACTGGACTGGTATTTAGTTTGTCAGGAGGAGTGACTTCTTCTACTCTTAGAACCTCCTCATTCCAACCCCTTCATTGAGGTTCTCAGTACACAGAACTGGGAGCCACTGGGTGGGATGAAGTGTCAAGAGGATGAGCTGAGAGTTCCTGTAATTTATCCTGGCAGCTGGGCTCAGAGTGAGGGCAGGTATGCCAACACCTGGTGCTGATGTTCATTTCATCCACCAGCCATTATGAATGGACTGAGCACCTATAGTGCTCCATGCACCACACCAAGCCCTGGTGAGCTGCAGCCCTCACGGAGCTCCAGTGCAGCTGGGGAGGCAGACTCAAGGATGAGCTCAACACAGAGAAGTGGCACCGCCATCGCCTACATGGGAACTTTACTTGCTCTTAAATATTTGTGTAGAGTAGAAGGCATGCACATATATCAACGAATGAGAGCATTAGAAGGACACTGGGGCCGGGTGCAGTGGTTTACACCTATAATCCCAGCAATTCAGGAGGCTGAGGTGGGTGGATCACCTGAGGTCAGGAGTTCAAGACCAGCCTGGCCAACTAGTGAAATCCCATCTCTACTAAGAATACAAAAATTATCTGGACGTGGTGGCAGGCACCTGTAATCCCCTACTTGGGAGGCTGAGGCAGGAGAATTGCCTGAATCCGGGAGGTGGAGGTTGCAGTGAGCCAAGATCACGCCACTGCACTCCAGCCTGGAGGACAAGAGCAAAACTCCATTTCAAAAATAAAAATAAAAATAAAAATAAAAAAAAGGAGTCTGGGCAGGTAATGGGTAAATGCTGGTCTCTGATCCTGAATCACTCCACCCATCATCACATGGCCTGGTTACCTGTTCTCTAGTTCAGCTCAGAAGTTATCTCTTCAGGGAAGCTTTCCAAGTCACCTGGCTCTGGCCCAGGCCCTCTGCCTAGCCTCACGGCACGTAATTACATACTTGTGTGATTACTGACTAATATCTGTCTCTCCCATTAATTTATGAAGTTCTCAAGGGCAGGGACCATATTTCTGTTTTGCATCCCCTGGGATGCCTGGCATATAGTAGGTAGTCAGTAAATGTTTGTCGGATGAACAAATAATACACAGTCACTATTGTCGTGACCACAGTGAGAAAGCCTTGAATGGTTCATCCTCCCCTCTATTTCAAGGAACCATTTAATGCACTACCAGATTCCTCTTGCCTTTAGATCCCCTAAACATTCTGCAGGGCTGATTTGAACAACCCTGATCTTCAGATGAGAAAATCAGGCCTCACTCCAGGCTCAGTACATCATTGGGGGTGCTCATCTGGGCTGCTGCAGCTATGACTTCCCCCTAGTTCACAGACTCTGTACTTGGGCTGCACATTAGAATCACCAGAGGACTTTTGAGAACTATCCCTGCCTGGGGCACACCCCCAGAGATTCTTTCAGCTGCTGGGGGTGGACCCTGGCCTCGGTGTTGTTAAAATGCTCTCCAGCCGATTTCAACTTGCAGCTAGAGTGCAGGATACATATCTAGCCACAGTCGGAGAACCAGAGGGTGGAACCCCAACTGCATTCTACCCATGAAATACCGGGAGCCCAGAGAGGGGCAGAGATCACTGAAGGTCACACAGCAAGTGGGAGGCCCAGCCTGGACCAGCAGCCAGGCTCTACAAGAGTGCCCAGGAGGCCATTCCTCTGTGTAGGGGCAACCTTCTCCTGAATCCCCTCAACTCCTCCACCCAAGAGCAGGGTGCCTTTCAGACAGAGAGAAGGGGGCTGCTTCTCAGGCTGAGCCTCAGAGCCCCCTGAACCCAGTCTGATGGAGGGGCTGTGTGCAGTGAGTGGGGCAGGAGGAGGGGCAGCCAGTGCTCGCTGTGGGCTCAGAGAAACCCATCCTCTTGTCACCCCGGACCCCAGAGTAAAAGCACCTGACAGCAATAACTTAAGCATACCCTTCAAATGACCCTCTGTGGCAGACACACCTGAATGTGTGTTCCAAGCTAGGGAATCTGTGAGTGGCCAGCCTGGAGGTTCATTCCTTATCTATGAGGAGCATCTGAGCCCCTGGCCTGTTCTATAGAACGTGGGCCATGTAGGGGATTGAGGCCCTGAGTTTTGGGTTGGATGAAGACAGGTGGAGGCTGTCGAGGGGATGGTGTTCAGAGAAAATGCTGTAGAAACTGCATGCTGTTTGGGAGTGGTTTTCCCACCCAGCCCACTGCCACTTGGGTATAGAAAGGTAGATATCTTATGCAACCCACCGCCACTGGGCTCTCGCCCCTGTCACCCCCTAATGAAACCTCATGTCTTATTTGTTGGCTCTGGGTCTCTTCTTGGGCCTCTTGAACCTGATGCCTTCCCTACTGAGGTTAATAGGGGTTCGGCACAATACACTCACCCTTGCTGGAACATGGCAACATCATGCCCGGCCCCCAAAGCGCTGGGACTCCTTAGTGGGGGAAAGGCGGTCTCCTCCCAGCCTGGGGCCTGTTCAGCGGCAGCCTCCCCTGGACCAAAGATTCTGGAGCCTCATGGGGAAAAGGACGCATTTTGCAGCCCTTGGAAGCAAGGAGGGGTCTCCTGTGTTGGA